CTGAACTAAGTGGAGCTGTATGACTCTGGTGATTTAGCGCTTAGTTTTGATTATAATCATGAGCTAAGTGGAAGGGATAAGGCAACTAGAAGGCAGAAGTGGACAAGAAATGATAGAGGTAATAGAGAGAAAGTGCCAAGAGTCAAAGGAAAGGTTTATTCCATGACTGACGAAAAAAAAAATGAAAAAAATGGAAACCTTGTTGTAATTAAGAATGTAGAGAGGTCACGGGAAGGAACAAACTTTGAGCAAATCAAAATTCAGAAATTTGGGAGAGAAACAGCAAAAGATCTGAAAACAAATGTAAAAAGAATAACGAAGTTGAAAATGATTTATCATCATACGCCAAAACTGTGATAAAGTTACTTCCCAGCCACATAGAAAAAGACGATTGTGAGGGAGCAGGTGATTAGACTGAGGAAGGAGGAAGGGACACTGACGGAGAATAACACGAACGTATGTGAAGCACATGGATAAAAATGAATCTTCTCAAAAGAAAGTGAAATATTTATAGGCACTGTAGTTAGACTGTTGGAGAGTATCAACACAACAAAAGATGTAACGAGACTACTAAATGAGTTACATGTAATTATTACAATGGGAATAGATAACATTTTCATGGGAGCTGACAAAATACGCAAAGAGCCAGAAAATTGGAAGGACGCAAATGTATTCCCCCATTTATAAAATAAGTGACAGAAAATAGGCCCTGAATTAGAGGCCAGTAATTCATCACCATGCATATTCTCAGACGTTTAGAAGATAATATGGAAAAGTACATTTGGACACTTGGGGAGATTACAGAAAACCAGCACGTATTTACGGATGGAAAATCCTGTCTTGCGAATTTCCTGGAAATTCTTAGTCACACACAAAACAAGAAAGACAGGGTTAAACAGAATACATTTTATAAGATTGCAGAAAAAGCATTTGATACTGTACTTCACCAGAGATTACTCCAGAAATTAAAAGAACAAGCATGGTTACAAGGAAGGGTACACCAACGGATCAAAAGACAGAGAGTAACGATAAGGTATATACGTCATGATGGGAAACAGTAATAAGGGGGAGGACAAGGATCACTATTAGGACCACTACTGTTCCTAAGTGAAAAACATACCAGAGGGAACTGAGTAATACGTATCACTGTTTCCTGGCGACTTAAAATTAATGAGGGGAATAAGAACAGGAGAGAACAATGGTAAATTCTAGGAACGTAATTAGAATGGGAAATGGTCAAATAAGTTGCTTCTCAAACCTGATCTAAACAAATGCAAGGTAATATGTTTCTGAGAAGAGGGCATACCGGACACAAAATACAGAATAGGAGGAGAGAAGCTGCAAATATCGGATATTGGAAATGATTTGGAGGTAAATACGCCGCCAACAATGTCGGCAGAAGTACACAGAAAACATTTAACGGCAGCAATATATGCAAGATTAGCACATCTTAAAACAGTAGTTTGGAACATAAGCAAAAAATTCTTCAGATCTCTCTATAGGAAATATGTTAATGGCCTCAGCATGGAACCCACACCTAACCAAGCATCAACAGAAGCTTGAAAACGTTCAGAATAGTACCAGAACTGACGGGAATTCCCAATAAGCAGAGTATCAAGGAAATGAACCTGACGACCTTGGCGGAAAGAATATGATTTCAACATATAAATCAGTAAGAAGAAATGATGGGGTAAAGAGACAGAACGTTTGAATTAAGAAATCCAAAATCGAAGGGATAAAGATAGAAGGTGAGGACATAGATGATGCACATGGTTGTAAAGAAATATTTTCCCTAGTTTTAGGATAGTTGAAAAGAGGAATGTTTTGGACGATGAAGTGGAGTAAGCAAATTCAGTACCCAGCTTTAAGGTAAGGTATATAGTAATAAGGTCTATGTTGCCAGAAATCACTGATTCTGGTTCAAATGGTATAGGCGGCGAGGTGAGGATCTGAGACTTATTGCCTGCAAACACAAGTCGGCGAGTCCAGTTTAGCAAGTATGCAAACACACACACACGCACACGCACACACACGCACACACACGCACACGCACACACACGCACACGCACACACACGCACACACACGCACACGCACACACACGCACACACACGCACACACACGCACACACACGCACACACACGCACACACACGCACACACACGCAACACACACGCACACACACGCACACACACGCGCACACACGCGCACACACGCGCACACACGCGCACACACACGCACACACACGCACACACACGCACACACACGCACACACACGCACACACCGCACACACACACCAAAACACCCACACAAAACACACACACACAACACACACACACAACACACACACCACACACACACACATACATACAAGAAAACGCGCGCGCGCGCGCACACACACACACAAAAACACAAAAAAAAACTAACAAACACACAAGAGGGGAATAAAAGTTGTAACCATAAAGAGGCTGATGAAAACTGGAATGGATGAGACAAGGGAGAGGGAGACTGAAAGTATTACAAGGAACGTTAATGAACAGTAGATCTAAAAGTAATTCAGAAAAATGATATACTATCAGAGGATCAACAGTTACTACCAAAACAAATGGAATATCAAAGTCCGTACGTTCTTTTGTGTAAAACAAAACAAGTGTAAGGGAGATACCCGTATATTTATGTCTGTGCTTTGCTTGGGTTAAGTGGTATACTGAGGCAACGAATTATTATAATTAGCGACTCAATCAGCACAGATATTCTGTATACACTAATGATAACAACAAGACAGCATTCCCTCATATGCACAATATATTCAAAGAATAAATTTCGTTGATGCTCAGAATAAATTTCGCTGATGCTGAATTGTTGAGGGGAATTAGTAACATAGCAGGAAACGATAACAGAACATTCTGTGATCAGTAAAATTCAATATTTGAATTTCTTGAAAGAGAGTATCGAACCACAAATAAACATAATTTAAAAAAAAAAATACCAGTATTGTCACGTGAGGTTCGTGGTTACCGCTGGGAAGTGGTAATGACCAGCACACAGTGTTCCTGACACTAGGGGATCGACACCATGCCTAACCCTTCTAGGGTTTTATTTATTTTATTTATTTCATTTATTAATACATCGGCCGTTTCCCACCAAGGTAGGGCTCCCCCCCCCCCACACAAAAAAAAAAAAACATTCACTACATCAATGATTTGCCATAAGCGTGTTTACAGTTATAAAATTGCAACATTAACACCCCTCCCGCAGAGTGCAGGCATTGTACTCTCCACCTCCAGGACTCGAGTCTGACCTGTCGGTTTTCGTAAATTCCTTCATAAATGTAACCTTGCACACAATCCACGCTCATGCATCCTTGCTGGAAGTCCAAGTCCCACACACACAAAACTTTCCTTTTTAACCCCTCCCCCCTCCCTCCAACCTATCCTAGGCCGGCCTCTACCCCGCCTTCTATCCACTACAGGTTTGTACGCTCTCCAGGTCATTCTATTTCGTTTCTTCCTCTCTAAATGTCCGAACCACCTTAACAACCCTTTCTCAGCCTTCTGGATAATACTTTTAGTAACCCCACGCCTCCCCTTAATTTCCAGTCTACTGATTCTCTGCATTATATTCACACCACATTTTGCCCTCAGACAAGACATCTCCACCGCATCCAGCCTTTTCTCCTTGTTGCCACATTCACCACCCATGCTTCACATCCTTATAAGAGCGTTGGTATAACTACGTACTCATATATTCCCCTCTTTGCTTCCACTGATAATGTCTCCACAGACTCCTCAGTTCGCCAATCACCTTTTTCCCTTCATCAATTTTATGATTCACCTCATCTTTCATAGACCCATCTGCTTACACACTCACTTTCTCCATACTCCTTCCCTCCAATCTGATACCTAATCTTTCGTTATATGATTTTTTTATCCCCACCATCCTTACTCTTTCCAATATTCACTTCTAAGCTCCTTCTTTTATGCAGCCTACCAAACTCGTCCACCAACTTCTGCAACTTCTCTTCAGAATCTCCCAAAAGCACAGTGTCATCAGCAAAGAGCAACTGTGACAACTCCCACTTTGTGTTAGATTCTTTATCTTTTAATCCCACGCGCCGTGCCAACACGCGAGCATTCACCTCTCTTACAACCCCATCTACAAATATATTTGAACAACCATGGTGACATAACACATCCCTGTCTAAGGCCTACTTTTACTGGGAAATAATCGCCCTCTTCGGTGGCCCGTGGGCTGGTGGCAAGAGCTTTCGAGAAACCGGTTAGCAGGACTTTTGTACTAGAGGTGGGAATTACAGTGCCTGTTCTCTATAGAAGGGGAGGGAATAAGTGCAGAGCTGAACCGTAGTATCGACGCGCCTCTGGCAAGACAGTAATGGAGTGAATGAGTGCGTGTTTCTTCTTCCATCCTGTCTCGATGGAAGACAGCGTGCCGTCCCCAGCCTAGTTAGGGTGACCAAAAGAAGAAACACATTCACCATCATCTATTTATTAGGTGTCTTGCCAGAAATGTACAGGCATAAAAACATCCAACCAGCAACATTCCCATCCCACCTTCAGAATGAAGACACTGTACATCGCACTTCCAGGACTCATGTCTAGTTATGTGATTTCCATGAATCCTATCACATAACATCTGCTCCATATTCTCTAAATTCCCAAACCAAGTCACCATCCCCTTTTCAGATCCCTAAATTATACCTTTGGTAACACCACACTAACGTCTAATTTCTACGCTCCGTTTTCTATACATTAATTTCACACAAAACATTTATCTGAAACATATTTCCTCTATCTACAGCCTCTTCCTCTTCGCTGCTTTGTTTAAAACCCATGCTTCACATATCCTTCCGCCTGTGGCCTTCTTTCTACAAATGCGTAACCATATCACCCTCTGGCATTTTACTGTGATTTACAATGTTACTTTATTGATTAGTGATTATTATTTCAGTGACTCACAATGTGACTCATTTATGATAATGTCTCACAATTAAATCCAAATAATGCTGTGACTTACCATGTTAATTTAGTTACTTGTAATTATATTTTACAACTCATAATTTTACCTTACATAATCAGAGTATGTAGAAGATAGGTGACATATGATTATAAAAAGAGTTGTGTGTGGCACAGGTCAGCGCGGGACTATGGTACTCTCTCGTGCTGGGCGACTAACTCCGTGGGCACCCAGGCTGACCCCTGCATGTTCACCGTGGTGGAGGCAGGTGAGTCACAACTCCGTGGGCACCCAGGCTGACCCCTGCATGTTCACCGTGGTAGAGGCAGGTGAGTCACAACTCCGTGGGCACCCAGGCTGACCCCTGCATGTTCACCGTGGTAGAGACAGGTGAGTCACAACTCCGTGGGCACCCAGGCTGACCCCTACATGTTCACCGTGGTGGAGACAGGTGAGTCACAACTCCGTGGGCACCAGGCGACCCATACATGTTACTGGGGGACAGTGAGTCACAACCGTGGGCACCCAGGCTGACCCTGCTGTTGGCCCGGGGGAAGGCAGGTGAGTCACAACTAATGGAAACCCCTTGGCTGACCCCTGCATGTTGGCCGGGCGAAGGCAGGAGTCACAACTACAGGAAAACCCCTCATGACTGCACAATTTGAATCCATTTCTTCCCTTTTCTGATGTTGGTCTGAAAAAGTGAACCGCTGCCCATATCTCCCTCATTTTTCGATTGAGGTACTTTCAGGTGATTGATTTATTAGTATTTGCATTAACAGCAGTGTCCAGGTTTACTAATAAAGTGGCAATGATGTGTGTGTGTGTGTAAAATATATATATATATATATATAAAATATATATATATTATATATAATATTTATTATATAATATATATTATATTAAAATATATATTTTATTTAATATTTAATATATATATTATATATATATTTATATATATATATAAATTATTAAGACGTAATAAAGGACTGTTAATGAATAAACATGAACAGGTACTCGAACCGTGGTCGTGAGCTATGAGGTTTTCAGTAGGAAGGTTTCACAGACTGTATTTCCTGTGACAAATGTGCATCAGCGGCACTATCTTCAGCTCAAGTATAATATATAAGCTTTAGTAATAAGCCCATTTATGTAAGGCTGTTATGTACAGTAGCAATCCTGAATTGTAACATGGTGATTGCAACTAGCTTAGTGGTCTTAAAGAATAATCGAATTCATAAGTAACCAGAGTACAGGCATAATGATACTGAGGATATCGGTAGATAGTATTTAAAAATATATGAAGAGATTCTTCCGAACATTCTGGAATCCTTCTGGGACATATGGTATTCGATTCATTTGATTAAAAAGTTTACACATAATACCACTGGTTTTTAAAAGTCACATGACTTGCTGGCGGCGATTAGATGAAAGTTAGGGCTGCCTTTTACATCTTCCATTATTATATTTCCTGCTTTCTGTAAACTGGGAGGCCCTTTACTACCCAACGCCATATTTGGGTGTTGAACTGACCAGTGCCGCTCATTTCGTGAGAGAAGCTGGCTGGTGTCGCCACGCAAGGTTCTTCTAAGAAAACTTTCCCTCGATTCTTCTGTTGCTACTTTTGCAACAATGCATAGCTCTAATGACACACTGAGCTGAAAATTTCCATCCCCTATGACTTATCTTGCATTGTTTAGGTCGCTTGTTTACAATTGTATTGCGCATATATATATATGTCGTGCCGAATAGGTAAAACTTGCTATTTTTGCTTAAATAGCAATGCTTTTCTTATTCAATAAGGCAAGCGAAAATTTGTGTATGCAGTAATTTAAAAAAAAAAATATTAGGAACCTAACGAAAACAATATGCATTTCATTGTCTTTGTTTATTATTAAATTATTGTAAACTTATCTAAAACAGATTTAGTTTTATTCTAAATTAAATTGAGTTTGTTATAATAAAGTTAGGTAAGTTTTCTAAGGTTCTTTTAGTACAAAATGATTAATTTTCACATTAACATAAATGAAAAAAAATATATCTTTAAACGTATAAGAGAAAATTTTAGAAAGGACTTAATTATATATATATATATATGTCGTGCCGAATATGTAAAACTGGTCATTTAGCAAGAACTCATTTAAAATTAAGTCCTTTCTAAAATTTTCTCTTATACGTTTAAAGATATATTTTTTTCATTAATGTTAATGTAAACAATTTTAATTTTGCTAAAAAAGAATCTTAGAAAACTTACCTAACCATATTATAACAAAAAACAATATATTTTAGCCTAACCCAACTAAATATATTTTAGATTTGTTTACAATAATTTAATACTAAACAAACACAGTGAAATATATTTTTTTCGTTAGGTTCAGAATGATTTTGGCGAAATTATTGCATACACAAATTTTCACTTGTCCTATATGGCAAAATGAGCGTTGCTATTTAAGCCAAGATCGCAAGTTCTGCCTATTCGGCACGACATATGTATATATATATATATTATATATATATATAATATATATTATATATATATATATATATATATATATAATATCATACATACATACATTTAGGTAAAATCTATGGTATTGCGAAGTGGTGTGGGATTAAAAGACACTGAATTTGAGAGGTGTGTTTTGTCACAGTGTCACTTTGCCGATTCTAATGAGAAATTGTTAAGTTGGTGGACGAATTTGGGATGGTATGTAAAGAAGGAAATTAAAAGTGAATATAGGAAAGGGCAACTAGACAAGAAAATCAGAAATCTAGTGATATCATATACGAGATAAAATATGGTGGAGGTAAATACGTTCAGATATTTGAGAGTGGACTTGTTGGTAGATGGTTGTATGAAAGATGAGGTGAACCACTGAGCACTGATGGAGGAAAAAGTTGGGTGTGCATTCAGATATCTATTGAGACAAAGAACGGAGGCAGAGTATGGGTGTGAAGTATGAGTTTTAAACATTACAGTGAGTAGGAGGCTGGGGGCAGTTGAAATGTATTCAGTGGGGGGGAGGGGTGAATATTACGAAGAGATTTAGGAGTCAGGAAATTCAGAGGAAGTGCGGAGTTAGAGAAAGTATTATCCAGAGAACTGAGGAGGAGATACTTGAGTGGTTTAAGGTTTTAAACAGGGTGGAGAAACTAGGATAATTAGAAAAGTTAGGGCTGGGATAGAGGGAAGAAGGGGTAAGAGTTATCCTAGGAAAGGTTGAAAGGAGTGGCAAAGATTTTATACGCAAGGGGTTCAGATATACAACAGGCTTTGTCAACATGTTAGAAAGGAATGAGTGTAGGCAAGCAATTTTTATGATTTGACATGCTGTTCGAGTCTGAGCAGGTTATCATTTATTATGAGTTTATGGGGAACCGGTCAACCGGACTTCAGTCTTGTAGATGGTGAGTCCAGTGCCTGCACTGTGAAGAACGGCTGGATATGATGCGGTTTAAAGGTTTACTTCAACTGTGATGATAGTGCAAGACAGTTGCTGAATGAATGACTGTGAAAGTGGTTTCCTAACTTTTAGGAACGTCCGGTGTGTTCATAAGAACATAAGAAAGGAGGAACACTGCAGGAGGCCTGTTGGCCCATAATTACCATTAATTACCATTAACGTTTTCATTACCGTCCCTATCTCTCACATTATCTCACATTGTGCCTCTTTCTTTGACCCCTCCCCCCCCAGGCCCACCTGAGCGTGTAGGGAGCTGCGTGCTGGTGAACTTGACGGTTGGCACCCTGGAGGTGGGGTGCACTCCTGGTAACGATGGCGGACTTCCCCAGCGCTTCGTTGCGCGAGTGTACACTTCCCCCAGCCACACTCTGTTAGCCACCATAGAGGAACAGGAGCCCAGGTTTCATGTGGAGGGTCTCACTCCCGGCCAGGACTATCTTATCACCATCACCGCAGTCAACGCTAAGGGCGCCAGCGAGCCCGAGGAGATTGATGCCATCCGTCTCAAGGTGAGTCTGTCACTGTGACATTTCTGGGATTGGATACGGGAAGATTTATTTTGAACTGTGTGACCTACAGTAGTTTAGTGCTTCACACGTGCGCGCTCACACACGCACCGATCAGCGAAGAAGCGGATCCTGGAGCTGCGAATCGACCCATGCAACCATAAATGGGTGAGTACACACACACACACACACACACACACACACACCACACACATACTATTACCTTGATACTCGAGTAGGAAATTAATATTGTGTTTCATGGTACCTGAGTGATGAAAAATATTACAACATTTTACCAAATGTCAGCTTAACGAAATATGTTGAATCTGTTAATTGTCACCTGACTGACTGAAGATACTTCACCAGATTGTCTGTTACCTGAGTGACTGAAGATACTTCACCAGATTGTCTGTTACCTGAGTGACGGTAGATACTTCACCAGACTGCCTGTTACCTGAGTGACGGTAGATACTTCACCCCAACTGCTGTTTCCTGGTGACGGGGAGATACTTCCCAAGCTTTCCTGAGTGACGGTAGGTACTTCCCGATGCGTGTTACCCCGGGCGGGGTTTCCCAATTGTTGTTACCCGAGTGGGGTGGAGTACTTCACCAGATTGTTGTTTCCCCGAGTGATGGGGAAAATTCCTAGACTGCGGTTTTAAACCCGAGTGAGGTAGATAAAATTTTACCAGATTGTCTGTTCCTGAGTGAAAAAAAAAACTTCACCAGGTTTTTCTGTTACCTGAGTGAGGAAGATCCTTCATGGTTGTCTGTTACCTGAGTGACGTAAAAACTTTCCTAGCTGGTGTTATAAATACGGAGTTTCTTCACCAGATTGTTGTTAAAATGAGTGATGGTAGATATTCACAAAATTGTCGTTACCCGAGTGATGGTAGTATTTACTAGCTGGGTTAACCCGGTGACGGGGAACTTCACCGATTGTCTTTACCCCCGAGTGATGGGGATTACTTCACTAGACTGCGTGTTTACCCGAGTGACGGTGATATTTTACCCCGATTTTTTTTAACCGAGTGAGGAAGATATTTTATAGGTTGTTGTTACCCGAGTGACGGAAAAATTTTCACAGGTTGTCTGTTCCTGATGAAAGCAAGATCCCCCACCCGGTTGTCTGTTACCCGAGTGACGGAAGATCCCTTTAAAAGGTTGTTGTTACCTGAGGACGGAAGCCTTCACCAGGTTGTTGTTTTCCTGAGTGACGGAAGATCCCTTTACAGGTTGTTGTTACCTGAGTGCGGAAAAAACCTTTACCGGTTGGCTGTTTTTGGGAGGAGATCCTTCACCGGTGCTGTTTTCCTGAGTGACGGAAAAATCCTTCACCGTTCTGTTTCCCATGACGGAAGATCCTTTACCAGGTTGCTGTTACCTGATAGAAAATCCTTCAAAACCAGGTTGTCTGTTACCTTAAATGACGGAAGATCCCACCAGGTTTTGTTACCTAGTGACGGAAGATCCTTCACCAGGGGTTTTCTGTTACCCCAATGCGGAAGATCCTTCAAACCCGGTTGGCTTTACCTGAGTGCGGAAGATCCTTCACCAGGTTTTCTGTTTACCTGGTGCGGAAGATCCCTTACCAGGTTTTGTTTTTTACTGAGTGACGGAAATCCCTTACCCGGTTGTCTGTTATGATGACGGAAAAATCCTTCACCAGTTGTCTGTTATAGGACGGAAATCCTTCACCAGGGGGTCTGTTACCTAGTGACGGAAGACCTTAAGGTTGTTGTTTCCGAGTGACGGAAGACCTTCACCGGTTGTCTGTTACCCGAATGACGGAAATCCTTCCCCCAGGGGTTGTCTGTTACCCGAGGACGGAAAGATCCTTCAAGGTTTTTGTTACCCCGGGGGTGACGGAAGATCCTTCAAGGGTTTTCTGTTCCCCTGAGTGACGGAAGATCCCTTTCCCCGGTTTTCTGTTACATGGTGACGGAAGATCCTTCACAGGTTGCTGTTATGGGACGGAAGATCCTTTACCCGGTTTTCTGTTTCCCAGGGGACGGAAGGTCTTCCCCAGGTTTTCTGTTACCTGGTGCGGAAGTCCCTTACAGGTTTTTCTGTTTTCCTGGTGACGGTAGTACTTCACTAGCGGGGGTGTTACCCGAGTGACGGGAGATACTTCACCAATTGTCGTTATTGAGTGACGGGGATACTTTACCAATTGTTGTTACCCGAGTGACGGTAATACTTCACTAGACCGGGGTTCCCCGAGTGACGGGGATATTCACCCGATTGTTGTTTCCCGATTTCTGAAGATAATTTACCCCAATTTCTGTTACCGATGACGGTAGATACTTCACAGGTTGCGTTACCTGAGTGATGAAGTATTCACCAATTGTTGTTTTTCCCAAGGGCGGGAGAAACTTCACCGATTGTCGTTCCTGAGGGACGGAAAAATATTCACCAGACTGCCTGTTACCTGAGGGGGACGGAGATATTCACCAGATTGTCTGTTCCTGGGACGGTAGATATTCACCCCGAGCTTTCCGAGTGACGAAGATACTTCACCCGATTTTCTGTACCCCGAGTGCGGTAGATACTTCACCCGTTGTCTGTTACCTGAGGGGGCGGTAGATACTTCACCAGTGCCCGTTCCCGGTGACGGGAGTTTCTTATAGGTTGTCTTTACCTGAGTGACGGGAGATACTTTTACCAGATTGCCTGTTACCTGAGTGCGGTAATACTTTAAGTTGTTTGTTTACCTGAGTGCGGAGATTACTTTATAGGTTGTCTGTTCCTGAGGACGGTAGAACTTCACCCGCTGCGTGTTCCGGGAGGTAATATTCATGGGTTTTCTTTACCTGAGGACGGTAGAAAAACCTTTACCAATTCCCGTTTCCTATGCGGTAATACTTCCAAGATTGTCTGTTACCGATGACGGTGAAACTTCACCAGATGCGGTTACCCGAGTGACGGTGAATTCAAGACTGCGTGTACCCCGGGGACGGAAAAAAATACTTCACCCAAAATGGGGGTGTTACCTGAGTGAGGAAAATCTTCACCCCCCAAAAGGTTTTTGAGTGCGGAAGATACTTCCACCCTGCGTGTTCCTGAGGGCGGAAAATACTTCACCAGATGGTGTTCCTGGTGCGGTAAAATACACCCCGACTGGTGTTCCTGGTACGGGAAAATCTTCACCCCAAAGCGTGTTTCCTTGTGACGGTAATACTCACCGATGGTGTTTCCTGAGTGAAGGGGAAAATACTTACCAGCTGCTGTTACCTGAAATGACGGAGATACTTCACCAAACTGCGTGTTACCTGAGTGACGGAAGATATTCACCAAAATGCGGTTACCCGAGGGCGGTAGATACTTCCAGGTTGTTTTTACCGAGTGACGGAAGATATTTCCTAGGGTTTTCTGTTACCTGAGTGACGGAAACCTTCACCGGATTTGTCCCGTTACCCGAGTGACGGAAGATCCTTCACCAGGTTTGTTTCCTATGACGGAAAATCCTTCACCAGGTTGTTGTTACCCGGGGACGGAAGATCCTTCACCCCGGTTTTCTGTTACTGAGTGCGGAAAATCCTTCCAACCCCCGGGTTTTCTGTTACCTGAGTGACGGAAGATCCTTCACCCGGGGTCTTTACCCGAGGGGCGGAAAAATCCTTTTTCCAGGTTTCTTTACCTGAGTGACGGAAAATCCTTCCCAGTTGTTTTACCTGGTGACGGAAGTTTTCACTAGGTTTTTCTTTACCTGAGTGACGGAAGATCCTTCACCAGGGGTCTTTACCTGAGTGAGGAAGATCCTTCAAGGGTTTTCTGTTAAACCCGAGGGGAAAGGAAGCCTTCATAGGGGTTTTTTGTTCCTGAGTGACGGAAGATCCTTCCCGGTTGTCTTTTCCTGAGGACGGAAGATCCCCTTCACCAGGTGGTTTTTTTTGGGGGGGGGGCTGTTACCTGAGTGACGGAAGTTTCTCCCAAACCCGGGGTTGTTACTTAACCGGACGAAACCCCCAAGGTTGTCTGTTACCTTTTAGTGACGGGAAATCCTTTACCCGGTTGTTGTTACCTGAGGGGGGAAGTCCTTCAAGGTTGTCTGTTACCTGATGACGGAGACCTTCATCAGGTTTTCTGTTACCTGGTGAGGGAAAATCCTTCACCCGGTTGTTGTTAACCCGAGTGACGGAAAATCCCCACCAGGTTTTTTCTGTTACCTGAGTGACGGGAAAATCCTTCCCCCCGGTTTCCCTTTTGATACCTGAGGACGGAAAAATCCCTTCCCAGGGGGTCTGTTTCTGAGTGACGGAAGATCCTTCCCAGGTTGTCTGTTACCTGAGTGACGGGGAAAATCCTTCCCGGTTTTGTTACCTGAGGGAAAATCCTTCCCAGGTTTTCTGTTACCGGTGACGGAAACCTTCCCAGGTTTCTTTACCTGAGTGACGGAAGATCCTTTACCCTTTGTTTTTTACCTGGTGACGGAAAATCCTTTACCAGGTTTTTTGTTACCTGATGACGGAAGATCCTTCCCAGGTTTGTTGTTTAAATGAGTGACGGAAGATCCTTCAACCGGTTGTTTTGTTACCTGATGACGGGAGAAGATCCCTTCACCCAGGGGGTTTTTGTTTCCTGAGTGACGGAAATCCTTCACCAGGGTTTGTCGTTTTCCTGAGTGCGGAAAAAATCCTTCACCAGGTTTTTCTGTTACCTGATGCGGAAGACCTTTACCGGTTGTCTGTTCCTGGTGACGGAAGATTCTTCACCAGGTTGTCTGTTACCTGGGGACGGAAAAATTTACCCTTTTGGGGTTGTCTGTTACCCTGAGTGAGGAAGACTTCCCCAGGGTTTGTTTTACCGGGGGTGACGGAAGTCCTTCACCAGGTTGTCTGTTCAGGGGGGGACGGAAAACCTTCACCAGGTTGTCTGTTACCCCGAGGGGAAAAGCCTTCACCGGTTTTTTGTTACCCGAGTGACGGGAAAATCCTTTTTTTTAATACCCAGCCCTTTTCCCCAGGGGGTTTTCAATTTTTTGTTAACCGGGAGGAAGACCC